ACTCGAGTTTTATTCTATCATGGAATCTAATTGGCCAAGGAGAAACAAAAGTCATTACGTCACAGAAATCTTTTCCTGGCTTGGGTTCGCAGACGTTATTTTTGGCAGAGACAAGCGATAGCCGGAAATACATCTGCGTTTGCAGGCTAATTGAAGCTTGAATTACAGATTTTTGATCATTTTCCATCATTCTCAACTTTTGATTAACTGGACTCATAATTTTTGAGACTTCTATGATTTATTCTTAATTCTGCACATAAATTTGATGGCTACTTATAAGTATACAAAAACAAATTTCATCCAACATATATTTTTGTTTAAAATAGTCAGTCTGACATATAGTACAAATATTACAAGTTTAATATCAAACAACAGTGAGACCTTTTGTAAGGACCATGGTTAAGATTGTGAATGGAATCAACCGTTTGAACCGCAACCAGTTTGGGCTGTCACAGCTGACGTTTCTCAATAGAACACTTTTTTAACCATTTTCAGTTGAAACTTGGTAACTCCTGGTTATAGTTCTTATGCATGCTACAATCACCCGCCAATAATCACACAAATGCTTTTTCAACCGTTTCATCCTGGTTCGAAGCCGTTTAAAAGTTGATCAACCAAACCTACTGAAAACGGCTTTTCCCCAATAGACCACAAAAAACTCAACCAACCAGAAACAGTTGATCCCAATAGAACACAACCTACATGTAGTTGTCTGCTTACGGGGGATGCCCACCTATGGATGGTATCTGCTCACAGGAATTACAGGCTCCAATTACAGTCGTCTAGTAAGTAATTAGATTGCATGTTTTATGTTGCTTCCACAGTCAACACCAGAGTCACTATTTGTGCATCATGCCCAGATGAACTTGTTACCCAGTCACACATACAGCAACAACAGTGGAGGTGACCCTCTCTGTATTCCAGACCTTACAGTAAGTGCATGCATAATGAATTTGTTTTTGGTATTTAATATGCATAATGCATGGTGCAAGCTGTTGCTGATGGCAATATTTACTGTGGTCAATTTGGTTTTGGCATTTAAATGTGCACAATGCATGGTGCAAGCTGTTGCTGATGGCATAATTTACTCTAAGTTAGTTTATGTCAATCAAAAATTAAAAAGTTCACATAAAGTTTTGTAACTTGTGACTGGCATTTAGAAATTAGGGTACGTTTAAATGTTCCCAAATTTCCTCAGATGTTTGCACTGGGTTATGTGGACAAGAAACAGTCACTCTTTTTCTTTAGTTTAACTTGAATGCAATGATCAGTACATAGATCTAAATCATGACTGTGTTTAGAATGTAGCCTCCTGCAAAATTCAGCTGATAGGAGCACTTGTTACATAAAAAATATCTACCTGTATTTTGCCTGCAACTCTTTCATGCCCTAAGCCTTTGTAATTGTGTCTACCTAGCTTTTCATTCACCTCTTGCACACTTGGGAAGGAAACAACTGGTTAACAGGCTAATACCTACCCAGTAATTTTGACCTCAAACGTTTTGAAATTTCTCTTAATATACTTGCTCATGCAGCAGCTCTAATACTTAACATTTTATTTGTTCTTTTAGTGGCAGCAGTTAAAGGATTTCCATGCTTCACATTATCATCCCAGTAATTCAAGGTATGTCAAATGATTTGGAACTATTACATTATGCTTCCCTGAAGTTCCCTAAAGTGTACGTCTTGATGTAACACGGTTTTAAAATGACTCTTATTAAATGAAGCTTGAGATTAACAGTTTTCCTCTGGTAATTCATGGTCACATGCAGCACACATGGGCCAAAAGTGAGAATTCTCTTGCTTTAGAGTTCAGTGGCAAAAAAAGGGCAAGTCAAGCATGTGGGGAGTGAGCTGTACTGTAAAACATGGTCCGTAAAATTGGTCAGTCATAACATGCTCACTATACAGTATGTAAGTTGTGGAGGTGCGGTGGCCTCATGGTTAGTGCACTTGCCTCTGGATCGAGTGGTCCGGGTTTGAACCCTGGCCAGTGAAATTGTGTTGTGTTCTTGCGCAAGACACTTTGCATTTCTTAGTAACCATGAGGATTTCTTCTAGGTTCTATACTTATGGAGATTTACCCCTGGAAAGTCATTTAGAGTACATTGAGAATAAAGTTCTCTGTCACTTTAACAAGATTTCTGTAACAACAGATATTCCTCATGAGCCCCGGTGGACAGAACCAGTAAGTATAAATTAAAATGATCAATTTATAGTATTGTTATTTGGAAAGAAAAACTACATGCACATAATGTATTTGGACATCAAACTGTGGAACAATGCATATTTTTTGTTAATTTTGTAATTAACTTTCTCAAACTCATTAACAATTCATCAAGTTTAGACAAAGGAAATCAAGAGCGCGAAGGTGTTTGGATATCTGATCTTAATTAGTATACTAAATATTTACAATTTTATTTAACTGCGTTTTCTCCTTAGTTTTATTTTCGATTGAGAAAGATATTAAAACACTTAAAACAGTGTTTGATCACATTTCAAAACACCTGGAAGTTTGTCAAAAATACTTTGCTGCATGTTTTATTTTCAACTCTTTTAGAACTCAGTGTTTGGAAATGTGCTCAAACATGGTCTTTCATGTTAAATACATGTATATTGCATAAATGGTATTGGTACGTGTGAATACAAGAGAATGGTTAAAGGTAAATACATGTACACCTCTCTGTACATCCAAGGGTAGAAAGTGATATCTGCAACAGACACATAATAACACTCTACTGATCATCTATTTTTGAGCTGTTTTTTAACTCCAGAAGCTCTGTTTTATAACAGTTTTGTGAACTTTGTGTTTCTATTAGCAAGAAAAGCATGTGACCTGCCCTGCTGATCCAATGGCAGCAAATCCAGACAAGCAAACTGCAGTGGGACTGCATTACTTAACAGGAAGGTTTGTGAATTTCTCTCATTTAAAAAACTTTGTTTCAGTGGACTGCTAAACTCAGTACCAATCCAGATTGGCTTCTTCTGATACTCGAGTGCTGTCAAGAACAACTTGCCAAAAAAAATACAAAATGTAACAAACTAATTTATTGGCTTATTAAATTATTGGGGGAGCAGGGACGGCATAGTGGTGAGAGCGCTTGTCTCCCACCAATGTGGCCCTGGTTCAATTCTGGCCTGGTGCCGTATGTGGGTTGAGTTTGGTTCTCGCCTTGCTCTGAGAATTTTCTTCCCTCCACAAAAAAATAACACCCAAATTGCAATTTGACCATGAAGGAGGACCTGCATGAAAACCAGCTAAGGCTCATGTGGCTTCCTCTCTAACTAAAATAATGATAAATATAATTTTAAAATCTGATTAGTTGAAAATGTCACTACAAGCCCAGTTTTATTTGATTACCCCCAAATCGCAGGTTCTGCCATTTCTTTAGCACCTATGTAAATAGACTTATTAATATATTTATGATGGGTTGTAAATGATTTAGCATAGCTTAGGTCTATTTACACTTTTACACTTTTAACTCAGGGCAATTCTGAATGGAAATTATTTATCTTATCTACAGTACCACAGATGCGTTTGAGAACTTTACTATGGTAATTTTGTCATCGCTCTTAGTCAGGGGTCCAAACTCACCATTCTACCAATCTCTTATTGCACCAAATATTGGCTCAGACTACTCTCCAGGAGTAGGGTGAGTATTATTATTAGATCTTGTTTGATTTTAATCTTGGTTAAAGCAAGATTGATTTTTGTTTCTCATAGTCATCTACTAAAATCTTCATCGGGAAAAAAAAAAGAAAAAAAAAACATTAATAGTAGTTTAAAGGCAATAGTTGTTAACACAATTTCATCCTGTCTTTCACTTAATTAATGTTTTGATTTTATTTTGATTTGTGCACATGTATCATCTTTGTTACAGGTATGATAATGGTACAAGAGATGCTTCATATTCCATTGGTCTTCAAGGAATCAAGAGAGATGACTACCCAATGGTTGTGGAAACCATTCACAAGACATTTGACAAGGTTATTGAGTAAGTGCATCTTCAGCTACAAGAACAGATGGAACTCCCTCTCTGCACCAGTTATAAACAAATTAATTCTCCAATTCAAGAGCTACTTGTCTCAGGCAGTGTGTGACTTGTACCCCAGGAGGTTGGACTCCTATGTAAAAAGGACAGCCCTGGGTGCTCATTGTACCTTTTACGGGTTAAAAAAGTGGATTTGATATCTCTTGGAGTGTTCAGCCCCAAGAGGCCTAGCTCCACAACAGGAGCTTTTGCAGTACCTTTTAGGGTATTGAGTCAAAAAAACATGACAGGAGATAATGAGTTGTTTTTGAAATGGTACGTCTTAGGGGTGAAAAACATTTCAAGCCATGCCACAAAACAGGATCTTGGTACGTGTACTTCCTAGGGATTCTTTTCAAAATTTCCGACGATCACCCCTGTCCTTTTTATATGGGCTCAGTCACCGCCCCCACCCTCCCACCCCCGGGCTTGTACGTCGATCACATGCCAGTGATGACAAATTGTTGCCACTGAAAATTGTAACAATTAGCTGTCCTTTGCCGTAAATATGAAGTTAATTATTAATTCCCTTATTTAGTTCTTCATAATACAGATGTAGGGATGGGGAATGGTACCTCAAAAATCTTTATTTTGAAGAACTGTGACTTGATATCTAAGTCATTTAGAGTCTGCAATGGCTGGGTCCTAAAGAGAGAGTGTTAAGTTAAATATGGCCTGCTGACCTGCTTTGTACATTGTATTGTGGACATGAGAAAGATTAGGAACCTTACACACGTACTATGGCGATGGCAAGAACAATGCCTATTAAAGAGTCTATTTGTATTTTACTTTGGAATTTTGCATTTACTTAGATCTACAATCATGTATTGAGTGTGCTTGTCAGTATTAAAACTTTCCCCTGCTGAATATGCTACGAATGCATTCAGTTCCATATAGAAATACGAAAAGTTAGCAGTAGTGGGTCCCATTGTCAAAAAACTGAAAAAAATTGGTCATTTCACATTGTTGATTTGCAGAGGACAGCAAAGAAATGTACCATGAATTATAATACATGTGCAAATCCATTGTTCTCCTCATTAAACCTTTTATTTGGTGACATTCTCGTTGCCGTTGTGTTTTGCGTAAGGTCCCTATTAACACTGTTTTACTCCTGCCAACATTTTACTAGTAGTTATGGTTTAAGAGCAAAATTTGAAGCCTTATCAGTTATCAGAATTTTTTCCCGTGTATTATTGCAGTGAAGGTTTTCCATCTGAGAGGATTGAAGCAGCACTGCACAAAGTGGAGCTGGCTATAAAACATCAGAGTAGCAACTTTGGACTTGGATTAATTACGGTATGTTCTTCTCAAACACCGGCCTTCTTGAGCATTTGTTTAGTTTATTTTGTCTAGCTGACTAATCTCTCAGACCACAATAGTTTCACATAATGTTTTCCACCTTACATCTTAATTTTAAGATGCTATATATTTTTCTGAGTTACACTTGACTTGAAGTTTAGGGAATGAACATTGCCATGACAAATATTTGTCACAACCCCAGTGGAATACATATTGTTTACATAGATTGGGGCTGTTACATGTCTAAAATTTCTTCCCAATGTACTCAATAATTTGCAATAGGTTATTTCATTTCTGTCATCAGGAACTATGCAATGTTGCAGTACAATAGTCCAATATTGATTGACAGTTTGCTCAATGCCGCTTGGCCGACTGTCAATCCAATTTATTTGCTCAGTTCTTCCTTTGAACATCTGGTGTGACTGCATTTAGGTCTTATTTCAATGTTCATTTCAGGGTCTAATGTCAGCTTGGAATCACGGGGCAGATCCTTCAGATTATCTCCTTATTAATGACCGTGTGCAGCTTTTTAAGGTGTGACAACGTGACTGAGGCTTTCCTTGATTTAATCAGATTGCAGTTATTTGTGTATTGTGCACGCAGAACTGGTCTGAGTTTTTACCTTACAATGACATGAAATAACTACAGCCTTGATGGTGGTCGGAAAAGGCGGGAAGAATTAGTGAAGGGCTTTAAAATAAGGAAGATAAATTATATGTTAACTGAAATGTACATTTGGTATGCCTATCAGGGCTTCATCTTAGGATATTGAATGGCTATGATATGAATTTCTACTATATACAAGAACCATTTCAGTGGAAGAGCGCAATGATTAGGATTTTCTTTTTTCCTTTGTTTTCAGGATAAACTTGCAAGTGGACCATTTCTTCAGGATAAAGTGAAAGAGTGTTTCAAAGACAACCCTCATTGCCTTACTCTTGTCATGAACCCTGATGTATGTGTGTTGTGTAATATGTCTTATTCATGCAGTTGGAGCCTGGCAGAAAACATTTCCCAGTGGATAAATTAATAGGGCTCCACTTGCCATTGAATAAGTCTTAACAAAACTCACTAGGCTAGCCACTGGATATTGACTTAGGCAGTGCTACTTCTGTTACTTCTCAGCAGTTGTCTCTCGTGCAATCTGCACTCGCTTTCCCATCCTTACATGTACTTCTCCCTTTCATGACAGTTGAGTAGCGCTGTGAACAGACTACTTTTTTGTCCCCTTCGACAGTGTTGAAAAATTTCAAATGGACTTTTCCTATAGATTTCGATGTTAGAAATTCAATCATTTGATGAACTGTATATAAGAAAAACTGACCAGTAAGTGGTGATCAAGCATCACAAGTGCATGATTAGAAGTCGAATTTGTCTCTGTAGCACCTCCCTTATCTTCATGTTTTTCTCTCTTTCAACAGCCGGAGTACGAGACAGAACTAAACAGGAAAGAACAGGAAAAGTTAAAGAGCAAAGTTAGCTGTCTGTCTGAAGAAGACAAAAACTATATTTATCAAAAAGGTAAGTCCCATTTTAGAACTCTAGCTGTTTTAGGCAGTTTATAGCAGTGCATATTTAGTAAAGTGTTTCTAGTTTCTATTATCCAGTCAAAACAATACAATACAATAATTATAAGTTTTATCATGATCTCCGAGAGGATCTTTATACCAAATTAACAAAAACATTGTCTCTCAAAATGTACATGTAAGTCTTTTTTTTCCACATCCTCAGATATCGAACTGGCAGAACAACAGAACGCCATAGAAGATGTGTCTTGTCTTCCAAAGATGGTGATGTCTGGTGAGCGATAACTGAATTCTCAATTCCTTGAACTTCCAAATATATGCTTTGTAGTCTAACTAAGCAAAAACACGTCCGTAAGCCCTGGAGACTTCTTAGTATTCGTTTTAAAGCTGAAAATACTTTTTCTTCCATGTATTTTTTCCTAGATATTGATCCGAGCATCAAGCCTGTTGCCCTGGAACACTACGTTTCTGGTAGGTTGCAAACAATTTGAACATGATTGATTACAAGCTGTAAGGTGAAATGAACGCAAACAATTTTTTGAATTGCCCCACGTATTAAAAGGTACAGTGTAGATGAACTGTGCTTGTTTTACATTACGCTGCTACGATGCTAGATAACCAATGAACGTGTAAGTTCAAAGTTCACAACAAAAGAATACAAAAACATTGTAAGACAAACAGCACCACTTGAAAGTATTGCTCAGTAGCTTTCATTTGAATGGTCGCACATTTGGGTTTTATCCAAAGACGTAAAGTTAGAACCACCTTGTACAGCATAATAAACAGTACAAAGTGAAAGCACTGCTCAATATATGTCGCTTAAACAGTAGCACTCTAGGTTTTTCATATGAACAGTCACACACCAGGGTTTAATCCAGAGATGTGAAAGTTAGAATTGCTCTGTACATATTAAACAGGACCACGAGAAAGAACGATAATAGCTTTTTATGAAATGGTTGCACACTC